GGGGAAGGAAGGAGAGCAGAAGGAAGGAACAAATCAGAGGAAGGAAGAAAGGAAGGAAGGAATAGATGAATATCAGAGTTGGAAGGGAACTTTCGAGGTCTTCTAGTCCAACAGGAAGGAAGGAAGGTTTTCTGAGATGGCAATGAAGGGGGTTGCAGACCTTGAATGCAACTTCATTTCATTTCAGTACCACGCCAAGTCCATTGCAAACATCCGGGAAGCCGCGAAAAGCTTGGCCACTAATCCCCTCGTCTACCGGCCGGTGGCCATCGCTTTGGACACCAAAGGTCCTGAAATCCGGACAGGGTTGATTAAAGGGGTAAGGTTGAGGGATAAATCCCCCCCAAAATGTCTTTTTTTTTCTGGTTCCCATCGGTGTCGTTTAGCAACACCCGTCGTTAAGGGGAGTCACCTTTCCTCCATGCATCTGGTCCGTGATCTTTTCCCACCAGGGCGAGAACGAAGAAGTGGAACTCGCCAAAGGATCCCGCTTGATCGTGACCACGGATCCGGCCTTCCGGGAGCAATGCGACGCGCAGACGATTTGGGTGGATTACGCCAACTTGCCAAAAGTTGTGAGCGTTGGCGGGCGGATCTTTATTGACGATGGGCTGATCTCCCTACTGGTCAAGGAACTCCGTAAGTTTTCTCCCACTGGTAGGGTGGATCTCTTTCTCCAGTTATATCACAGCGGCTCCATCTTGGCAACTTTAAGTTGGGTGGACTTCAACTCCCAGAATCCCCCAGCCAGCAGGCTTTAAGTTGGATGGACTTCAACTCCCAGAATCCCCCAGCCAGGATGCTTTAAGAGGGATGGACTTCAACTCCCAGAATCCCCCAGCCAGGGTGCTTTAAGAGGGGTGGACTTCAACTCCCAGAATCCCCCAGCCAGCCTGCTTTAAGAGGGATGGACTCCCAGAATCCCCCAAACGATCGGTTTCTCCTATCTTGTGTCTCCTCCCCAACCCTTGCGTGTGCACTAACCACTAGGTCCTGACAGTTGTGTGGTCGAGGTGGAAAACGGCGGGATGCTGTGTAGCCGGAAGGGAGTCAACCTGCCGGGGGCTAAGGTGGACTTGCCGGCCTTGTCCCAGCGGGATAGACAGGACCTGGAGTTCGGAGTGCAACAGGGGGTGGATATGATCTTCGCCTCCTTTATCCGCAAGGCTGAGGATGTGATTGACATCCGACGGGC